AACATCTTGTAATGCAAAATCACATACTGCTCTTTCATGCTTTGGAGCCAGTTTCTAATATTGTTCTCACTCTGCTAGAAATGTAGCCTTGAGAATAATGGTGGTCTCTGCTGCATAGCAAAGATATTAAACTCAGCTACAAAATTAAAGGAATTCTAAGACAGAGAGAAATCCTTCCCTTTGCTTTCTTTTTAGTATCCCCAGGTGAATTAATGAGGATATTGAGCCTACTAAGTTATACCTTCCCCCTCAAGTGTTCAGAAGAGAGGCTATAAACACTTTAGATCATTCTTCAGATAAGACAAGCATAAGAAAGATTCTGAACTGCAGTGGAATGGAATCATTAAGAAATAATTCCCCTCAGACTATCGGAAAGCAGATAAAAAATCCCCTGAATATGAATATTAATTTTCCAATATAGCTAGGCTTATAGACCTACAGATCTAAACAGGTTAAGGTCATCTTAGAAGTAACTCTGCCATTTTCTGACAGTGTTTATTGCTCAGCATGATGTGCTGTCGACGCAAAAACATACCCTTTACTGTTAAGTTTTCTTCAATGATGGCTCCTCACCTCAGCCTGACCTTTGGCTATGTTCAACCCATAGAGGGCAGTGATGTACAATTAATAATAACTTTTCAGGGCCTTAAATGAAAACACTGTTTGGTTTTGGTGGTCTCGGTCTGTATTTTTGGAAAGAATTGAAAAATTTTTTTTTAGGTACTCTGTCATTAACATTAGACTTTGAGAATTTCTCAGGTTTAGGGAATTAGAAGGTACAGACTTTCTAAACAGGTTGTTAAAAGTATGTTCTGAGAACTTTCCAAAGTTTTTTTTTCCAGAGGTATTTCTTGCTAGTAGTCTGCACTAATAAATAGTGGACCACATGCCGGGAAGAAATAAGTCCAAAGTAGAAATACACATGCTAAACTAGGAAGTGTTCTTCTCTCGTACCCTGTGGTTGCTTATAGGTATGACCCACAAATAGTCCTCATTAACTCTTTCTGTCTGCATCATGCCTACATGCAGTGAGACCTCTGCAAGGTAACTGGAAAATGAGATTTCCACCCTGAGAGACAGTGAGTGTAATCAGCCCCCACACATACAGACAGCACTCATAGTATCCACCAAAACCACAGGTCTTGGCAATCTTTTATCAGCCTGTTGGAACATAGAGTTTGACTGGGCCTTTTGCCTTCAACCAACCCAGGTTGAACAGCAGTCTAGACACTCAGTATGAGCAGGATTCAGTAGCAGAATAGCCTCTTAAAAACAGAAAGAAAGACAACACTGTGGCCTCCTCTACCCTGAGATACATTTCTTCTTGTTATTTTACATATCTCTCCTTTATGTTAATACATGGATATGGCAGTGAAAAAGATCGAAGAATTTTTGGATGCAATAGGCAGGTTAAAGCACAGACTAATTTTTTTGCTGCCTCAGGACATATTTATGTTTGGTTCAGAAGCAAACAGATTCCAAAGATATGAAAGAAATGCCAAAGCACAACGCAGATTAAACGGCTGGAAAATGCAGAAAACAAAACAGTAATTCATTAAAAGGAGTCTGCAAAGCATACAAACTCTGATCCTCTCATGACAAGGACGGATCACGAGAAAGTGTATAGCTCACACTCCTGAGCCAAGGCAGCTTCACTGTCTGGGCCTGGGGAGAAGAGGAGAGCCAAGCTTCCTGCTTGTCTCTTCCTTTCCCGCCTCTCCTTGGATGTTTCAGGCAGACAGTGTGTAGGGCTTATGTCTTTGAAGGGGCTTTGCATTCTGGATTGGAACAGCTTTCATGCAGTTATGCAGCAGATGAGGATGCTTTCCATTTTGGCATGTAGAGCTATAGTTGAGCGAGTGAAAAATCAGCTTTTCATGCTTTATGAAGTGTTGCTGTTGTATAGGAACTCCTACTGCAGAACACAGACAGGAAGAGAAATGTCTCTTTTGTATTTTATTTGTGTACTCATATTCAAGAATTTGTGAAGTGCACAGGGACTGCCATAAATTTTCTATCTGGAAAAAGTTATTCCTAACAAAAAGTATTTCCGTGTCTCACTGTATAAAACAAATGCCCCAGAGCCTGTGATTGCATAAAGATTTGATATTTTATGGCTATGATACCATATACAAATTGACTGCTACAACATTTTTATGTGGTTATTTCTAAAGATATATATGATCAGTATCCCTTGTTACTTGCAGCATCCTTCACTCAGAAACTGATGTGATAAACATAACACAAGCCTGAACAGAATGTCATGTAATAAAATACAATGTGAAATCAATCAAAATTCAGCTAACAGCACACATGAGGCCCATACTTTGGTTAACTGTGCAACATTTACCATTTCCAGATTTTACATAAATATTTATATCTCTATATTTTAAAAAGCTCCACTGACTTCCATTTGTCCAAACTTAAATACAGGTAATTTTTTTATAGATTTGGGCTTAATATTTGGAAAGATACAAGTTCTGAATTTTTCTATCTTCTTTAAATGTATGAATGTAAAGGAAGTCCCTTATCATTTAGTATTATTGTTATTATACATTTCATTTTAAGTTTCCTAAATTCACCACTAGTACACAGCACTGAGCTACTTTTGTAAAATTGATCAGTAATTTAACATCAATGTTATTTTTTAATATTATTAATATTCAAAAAAATTCTCAAGTGCAGACAGAAGAGGCTCTGGATACAACAAATGGATTAAATGTTTAAAAGTGCTTCTTTACTAAGTTTGGGGTTTATATTCTGTGTTGGAGACCTTAAGACCAAATGTAACTCATCATAACCATCCGTTTTATTCATGTCATGAACAGGTGGAAGATGTTTGCACACTAAACAAATTACCTCAATAATAAGTAATATTCTTTTGGAAGTTATTAAAAAATATAAGAATCAATGGTATATATATTGCTGAGTTACTGGAGTAACTAAATTAAATTGTTGAATACATATTTGATGGACAATAATAATAGGAGTAACATTAAAATAGATTTGCCACATTGTTTTACCACTGTTAAAATCAACTTCAATTACTGTATCTACTCTGAGAACAGTGTTAATACAGAGTCTTCTAAGCTGTGCTTCTGCTTTGACATGTTCACAGAAGTTTTAGAAAAGGTCTTATGCTTGTTCTGATTCCTCTCCCCCTTAATTGCATTGATTACAGGCTCAAAAGGGGCTTCTTCAATGGGGGAGTGGTCACAGCAGAAAGCCTGTCTAAATGCAAGGAGTATCTGGACAATGTTCCTAGTCATGGTGTCGTTTTAGGTAGTTCTGCAAGAAGCAAGGATTTGGATTTGATGATTGTAATGGGTCCCTTTCAACTTGAAATAATCTATGATACTATGATTCTATTAACAAAATGGACCTCTGGTGTGATGGCACATAGAATCAGGGGTCTCACTGGGAGAAGTACATTGAGAAAATGAAGCACTTGTCATCAACTCTGGAAATAGTGGTGCAAAGCACCAGTAAGATCCTGTTATATTATTTTCACTTTATTGGACTGTGTCATTGGCTTTAAACTTGGAGACGTAACTGAAGAAGCAATGCCTAAACTCTCCCCTGGTACTTGTAGTGCTCAGACATCATGACTTATAAAGGGGTGCTATTACCACTAGTCTAGCATCATTAGTTATGTGCAGAAATTGTTGTTCACCTGGATATCTATGGTTTTACATAGTTAAATACGCATGCCATATGCAGTTATGGGAACTCTTCCCTGTGTTGTTTCTTTTCTACTTAATATTTTAAAGTTGTCATTGTTTTCAAAAATTGTTTTACAGTTAATTATGATATTCCAGAACACCCTTGCCAAGACATATTTCAAGTGTCTCCATGCTTTAGTAGGTCTGAGGACTTCCTTCTAAAAGATATCAACAATTCTATGAGTTCCCTGATTCAAAAACAACTAATATTATATTATTTTTTGTGCATGCCTGCCTGAACTTTCTTATTCAGAACACAATACATAAAGCACCAAGATTCATTTTCTCATCATAAATATGCATAATATAATCTTATTAACATAAATCTGATCTAACAGTTTCACCATGGATAAAGAAATGTAATTAATTTTCCTCTTTGCCTATTTTATTGCTGTCTCTATTTTCCCTAGATTTTGCTTGTTCATGTACTATTGTCTTAGAGCCTTTGTTATGCATTGTACTTAGCTGTTGGATGCATCACACAGTCCTTTCTTAACCCTAGCTGGAGTGCTACTGGCTTTTGATAAGAGTAGAAAAAAATTTTCTTATTTACAGTTTGGATGATTATTCACACAGTCATAAAGAAAAACAAATTTCGACATATACAGAACTCTTACAAATATTTACTTTTGATGTTGTCATATATATGTGTAATCCCTTCATAGCAAGTGAAATTGGTTTGTCTGCATTCTAATATTACTATAAAAAATGAAGCATGTTGTTTGCTGCTGACTTGCCAATTAGGTAATGTGAGAGGATGTTTAAAGAAAAGCTTGAAAATATACTAGCATACTTGAAAGGCAGAATGCTCTTATTTACTTTCAAATAAACTGTACTAAGTTTATCATCTTCTTTTTGTTTTTTCTCCCTTATAGCATCATTGTCACAACTTTTTAAAGATTCTACCTTAAATACACTAATTTTAAAATGGTAGAGTAGCCTTGAGTACAGTAATATATTCTAAAAACAAAGAACAGTATTATATAAAGTTAAATACAACTCTACCAAAATAGATTGTTTTGCAGTTCAATCATACACAAAGTAATTTCTCTACTGAGACTCTGACTACTATTGATGGTTATGTTATTTGTACAGCAATCATCTCATTTCAGTACCTTTCCTATTACCCTAGCAAAACATCTGTTTACCAATTGTTGACAAAACTGAATGAGTGTCTCCCAATCTTCTTTCTGTTTGACTTTGTTTTCCCAAAAAGAATTGTATTTGATAATCCATACTTACGTGTATCTTACTATATATGTTTTATTCAAATTTCAGACTAATGATGGCATTGTGAAAATATGGAGTGAATCAGGAAGTCACGGCTATGAGTGGAACAAAGTTGAGTTACACTTGGGGAAGCTGAGGAATTTTGAAGTTATCTTTGAAGGCATTCGTACCAGAGACTTAGGAGGAGGAGCAGCAATAGATGACATAGAGTTCAACGACTGCACCACAGGTAAGTACAAGACAGACGTTTCTAGAGAGATTTTACATGAGATGTAGGATGTTCTTGTTTGTTTTTAAATTAATTTGTTCCCACCCCTAATTTAAATAACTTTTTCTGCTCATACAGAAAATCTTGTGCTAGTGCAGTGTTCACTAAATTATGGCAGAAAAAGCCAAGAAATGGTTAAGTTTTTGTTTCCTTAATTTATTTCATTTTGTGTAAGAAGTTTCCTTCTTTAATTCATTGGTAGGTTATTGAGTCTCTGCTGTTGTATATAATAATTTAATATAAATTATATTAGATCATATCATGTGTAACCTGTGGTCTGTGCATTTTATCATAAAGGCTCTTGCCATAAAAATGAGTGGAGAGTACAAATGAATCACTGTCAATATTCTGTTTCCCAGTTCAGTAGAAGTGTTAAAGGCTAGCAAAATAAAGAAAACCTTTGACTTCCTCACAGGATACTCTCTCTATTTAATTCATGTTTTTGTGGACATGGGCTAAAATAAGAACAGCGTTTGCCTTTATTAAAACAAAACAACAAACCAAAACAAGTAAAAAATCCAAACTCCCTCCCAAAATAAAAATGAAAACAAACAAAACCCCAACAAACAACAATAACAACAAATCAATCAAACAAACAAACAAACAAAGATAAATACTGAGTGGATCTTGACCTCTGTCAAGAAAGAAAGTGGTCTTTCTATCTGGTAGGAAACTGATACACTATAAGTGGCTTTTTTGAGTGAGGTGATCATTACTAATGCCACATAACACTGTAGGAGTTTCGGGGAAGTTGTTTGGGCAAGCTTTAATCTTCTGCGATAGACTGGATGCCCATTATCAACTGAGTATGAAAAGTGAACTTCTGGAGAGTACCTTTCAACATAGATTCATCTGAAAAAAATGAAGATTTTGCATTCAGAAATTGTTCTGTTGTATAAATCAAATAATGGAAACTGGATACAACTTGGGACTTTCTTCAGAACTGAACTTTAATAAAACTGTAAGGCAGATGTACTTTTAAAAGCTCTTCCAAACATATGAGCATTGTCGACGCTCTTGTGCTTTTTATAAATATTTCATTGCCCTCATTGCTGTGCATGTGATTGTTCTCCGAAGAACAAAGGTAGATAGGTAAGGATACCTGGTAGGATATGGTAGGTCAATATCCCTCTATCATCTTGAATAAAAAAGTTGATGCTGATCTCTCTTGCAATTTGCTTCCATCTGTGTTCACATGTATTAATTCATACCAGTGGGGTCTAATTTAAACTACATTTCTGGGATTCTGTCCCATTTTGGGGCTACAGCAATTTAGACACTTCATTTCACAGTCAGATTCGTGACATACTCAGCAAATTTAAAATCCCGAGGTTTCTTTTTTTTAAGAAAGAAGTAATATCCTTGTAAAGTTCATAAAGATGGTATCAACATATCTTCATATGACATAAAAATATTTCTTCTTACTCTTAATTCCATACAACCTGAAAAAGGACATTATATAAACACAACTGGAAATATTCCACAAAGTTGTCATTTCAAGAAAGTAAATTGTTTTAACAGGGATTTGGAAAGCTGTCATATAAAGGGTCTTAAATCTCTTAAAATGTTAAGACTGCTGAAATTTACATTGCTTTTAGTCTATGGCCCTTCAAATCTGAATGTTAACAGTGTTTTATAACCAGTGTTGCATTAAAATACCTTTGCAGTGAAACAGTTCAGAAAGTAACCTGGTTTATCACTTTATAGCAACTATTTGTTTTACAGCACTGCTTCAACAAGAAGCTCTTTTGGGAAAGTAGTTGCACAATGTGCTCCCACTACTTTCACTTACTTACAGCTTCAGCATAGTAATATTCCTGTGTACAGGAAAATTATTGTTTATGAAGGTGTAGGATTCAGAGGAGGTTTTTTTCATAAAAGTTTGAAATGTGCTGTTGAAGCTCAATATGGTAGATAAATTTTTTTGAGATTGATTTGAGAAAGTTGGAGACCCAAGATGCTAATCCTTTACAGAGCTGTCACTTGCATGGTCGTTGTTTTTGAAGTCTAATAAGCTGCAGTCTTTACACAATCAGGAATCGTTCACTTGTAGCATCTCTGGTAGTCTATGCTAGGTACAGCAAGCTTAACATTAAAATTTAGGTGTATGTATCTGGTGGGAATGTGTTTATGCTTATGCCTTTGCTTATCAGCAGGATCAGAGGCCTGTTGTATGTTTGCTTTTTAACTGTATCTATGTGCATCTGTGCAAATGCATGTCTGTCAAAGAACAAAACGAACAAACAAAATCTGAAAAACAAACCCACACCCAACCCCACCACTACCCCCAGGTTCTCCTGCCTGTATGATGATATTTAGGCTCAAACTAAAGTCAGAAGGGAATAATTTCATTGCCTTTACTGCCTTTCACATTGGCCCTGTATATGATTTTTTGCCTTCTACTCCACAAGTTGAGACCTGTTTACCTAATTTTCTTGAGAGTTTTGGTATGCTGACCTTACTGTTGGCATGATGACATAAAGGAGCCTGGTCTGACCTTTCTCATTCTTGTTGTTATTGATTCTTTACCTTTGTAGAACAAACAAGCAAAATATATTTTGCCAGTTTCTCAAAAATAACATTTCCCATCTGAGCCAAGCCTGGGGCACTCAGGATAGAAAAAGCATGTCGTGTATAGATTGCAGGTTTTTTACAGCACAGGGTGAACAGTTTTATTGTGTCTATTACAAAAAAAACCCTAAAAGACAGCAAACACAGACTTACTGTTGCAAACTCAAGAAGAGGAGTAGCATACAAACCAGACAGGGGTCAGGGGCTTCTTATCAACAAAATGACTTGATTTACAGCACTTACCCATGAACTGCATTTTTAGGTGTAGAATTACTGAGCTAGACACATGGCCAGGGCCCTCTAGGGTAACAGAATCCACATTTGTATTTTCCACTGGAATTTATAATGCTAAAGTAAGATCTTATACAATATTATGGATGTCCTGGACAAGTTAATTACATAAACAGGGGAAGAGATGATGCACAGAAAAACATAGAAGATAACTGAAAATAATTAAAACTTTAATGGCAGGTTTTAAATAAACAGAATGGAACTGAAATCAGAAAGCCTTAAATTGCATGGGGAAAAAAAGGAATATTTAGCTGCTTCCCAGCAGATGGATTATAGTGTAGGAAATGAATGTTAGAGCAATTCTGGAGCTTTCAAATATTTTGGGATAGCCTCCTCCTCACATACTGTCCTTTTGGAAGCCGTTGAATGGTATTCCTGGAACATGGTTTACAGTGTCAAAACAATAAAATAATTGCCTCTTTGCAGAAATTATGTACTCAAGACAGTAAAAAGGGAAGAGAGAGGTAGCTCAAGTGAGATTCTTAACATGGACATATCACATCTATTTTCTGAGGTATAGCAATATTCAATGATTATAGCAGCATTTAATAAATCTAAATACTTATTTTATTGTACATGTATTTTCCTTCAGCTTGCTTCCATACAGTGTGTTATAGAAATAAGCTGTATACAACATTAGAGTATCTGCATGGAGGTGGATTAACTCTCTGCTCTTCACTTAGCTGTGATTTACACAGCTCATGTGATATGAGGATTCTCAACCAAACATAAAAAATATTTTCACTATTTGTTTTTAAAAATTAGGGTTCAGCGGAAAAGAAATTTTGTTTAAAATATAATAAAGCTTGCTTTGCTTGGCAGTAAAATTTTTCTTTCCCTTTCTCCTCATATACTTGTATTCCTCCTCACCTACTGTTTATGGCAAAGACCACAGGTGAAGGTACTGAAAGCCTTTGAACAACTTTACTTCCATGCCCTCATAAACAAGAAGCTTTGAAAGTCTCAAAAGAGAAATCCTTTCTCATTAGAATTCCATCCTAGCTTTGCAGAGCAGAGATACAACAACTAAAACATCCCAGTGTTTGTGTGTGTAGGCCAGCTTTTTTATTTTTAAAGCAAGCCAGTGTTTTCTTTGAATCCTCAACTATGTATCATGCAAAGCTTTACATTTAGTGGAGAGTTTAGTTCCTTCTGCTCAGACACTTGAGGAAAGTTCAAACTCTTATGACAGAAATATTCAGCACAAACCTAGACCTGAAGTCAGAGGTAAGGGAATTCAGACAGAGAAAGATATAGATTTGTGTTCAGATAGAATGCATGTCCAGTTACCCAGTTTTTTTGAAGTTTTCTCTTTTTTTCCCTTCAAAATGTTTTAATGATTCAGGATGTCTTTCACTTGTTTTTGTCAGTATCAGGGTATTTTAATGTGTGGCACTGGAATCACATCACCTGGTTAAAAATTCTAAGTAAATGTGCTGAAATCAATGGTAAAATTCTTAATTGTTATTCTAATATTTGAATTTTGTCTTTAGAGGGAAGTTATTCTTCAATTTCATTGCGAGCTGTCAGTTTAAAAATTGCTGATCCATACTGAATATCCATTACAGAGAAAGAAAGATCATTTTAAGAAGTCTAGAATTTTGGGTAGCTTTAACTTAATTTGTGTTAGATAGATAGATCAACATAGATCAACATCAATGTACTTTATAGTTTGAGGGAAAATTTTACTGAACTCTGATCTCATTACATGTAACAGTGGATACAGATATGTGCAATTCAGTTCTAGACAAGAAATAATCTCCCTTTTGGCAATGTGAAAATCAGCCACTGCTCTCTTCCAGAGGACATCCTGAATGCCCTTGTACGAAGGACTCAGTGGGGGAGTCAGTGTTCTCAGGAGAGATTTGGAGGAAATGCAGGCTCCCTCAACTCAGCTTGCCAGGGCTGCCACAGTTACACTGGGGGAAGAAGACATGAGGTCCTGTACAAGTCATGTTATGCACAAGTGCTTAAGCAGCACTGAATATCAAGACTTTCAGAAAATGCATGAAAAATATAAATTCATTTTTACTGAAGAGGCAAATATTGTATAGTCTGGATTCAGGGAATGATTTGCATTTGATAATCTCCTTTGAAAAGATTAAAAAATTGAAAAAAAAAGAAATATCTCAGCAGCTTGAAAATCAGAATTCTCTAGTTTTTATTGCACTGTACAGAAGTCATTTACACACCTGTAACACTCTAGGGTTACTTTTTCTGCTTGAGATTATGTAAAAAGTGTATGAGCTTAATCAAAAATTTCTTCACCATCTTTTCTTCTTTTTGCCACTCTCAGATTGTTAATAGAGAAATACGAGGTCATTTGCCACATATTTTGAATAAGAGAAAGAAACAAGTTATAACTTCTACCTCATCTTTCATGAAGAAACATCAGTGGCTTTTTAAGCTTCTGTTTATCTCATGGGAAAATTTTGAAGAAAAGTTGCTGACTCCAAAGACACTTTATTTGCTAGCATGTGGCTGCAATTTCCAGTATAAATTTAAAGTATCTTAATTTTGACATTTACTTCACATATTGCTTACTCTTCATATCTGATATAGATTTCATAAGTCCACATATTTCAAATAGGCCACAAGAGAAGACTTTTTATGACTAGTAAAATATACGTGGTAGAGGTGGACGGACTTTAAATCTTTTTTTTAACTCACAATCATTGTCTTCTGTAACCCATCATGTGCTTCATGCAAGATGACACCCAAGATGAGTTTCACATCTGATGATGATTCTGCAGAGCCAGGGAGAGCATTCAGCTGAGAAAGTGTCTCCTTTCTGCAGATAATTGCAGCCTACACCGTGTGCTGTGCTCCTTTGGTCTGACTCAACGACCCCTGTTGACCACTTCCAAACAAGTCCATGTATGAAAAAAATAAAATAGTCATATGAGATGCTGCTAAGAAATTCATGATAACTGGAGAGAAAGTGCTTTTATTGAGTGGTTTGGATTTATTCCATGTCACAGTGGAAACAACAGCTTGACAGTCATTTTGTAGGGTAAATATCACTGAAAAGCTCTAAAAATAATCTTTGAAGCTGAACTTCCTGAGGTTCAATGTAGCTCTACACTAGAATTAAGATAAAGAAGAGACAGAGAGGGGAAAAAGGACCAAGGAGTAGAGACCTCATGTCAAATTGCTTCAGGAGATATTTTTATCTGCTGGAAAATGTTTAAAATTACTAAGAAATAGAATTTTCTGCAAAAGCATCACTTGATATTTTACCCTTCTCCTCCCTTCTCTTTTACCACTTGCAGACTCCAAAGAGATAAAGCTATCTCTCTCTAGCATTGTGAAAGAGGGAAGTGACTTAAGTACTCCCAATATACATGACAATTTAAAAAACAAATAATAGAAAGAGGTGAATTTCAAACTGTAATTGGAAAATATTCCTACTCAGAAAGGACTTAAACTTCTAAAAAAGACAAGCCATGGGGAAAAAAATACTCACTTCCATTGACTATACATTACATGTTTCATTTCATACTCCTGACATGGTGGTGGTGTACTATTAAGGAAGTACCTGTGCTTCTCTTGCAGAGGAAAGATGAGACTCGGTAAACAGTAGCTCAGTGTACTTGCCCTTGAGTTACACACTGCTTTCCAAAACAGCTCAAGGTCTTGTTCACTGCAGCCTTTAACAACCATAATAATTTGGGATTCACACTATGCCTTTCAAAAGAACAAAGCACTGGCCAAACACAACCTTTGACAACCTTTGTCTGTAGTGTTGTAGTACAACATAGTATGAGCATCTCTTCCTTTTGCTGTGTGATAAATCACTTCTTTCATGATAAATATTTTAAATAGGACAACATTCAGTGTCAGCCTAACACTCAATCTATGAAATTTACTGCTATCTATGAAACTTAATTTTGCTTTGCATTTTGCTTTGGATAATCAAAATCTATAGCTTCTGGGACTGATATTTGACCTGCCTCGTTCTTTCTGTTATTTTAGATATAATGGTAGTTACAAGAATATTTACATCTTACAATGCACTGCTAAAAGTAAGCTTCTGTACTGTGAGAGTCAGAGAAACAGTCACTGACCTATTGCTGTCATCTAGTACCAAAGTTAAAGGAAAGAAGACTGTTTTTGTGAGTTTGTTCATAATCAGTCTCTTCTTGGTACTTGAAAAAAAGTGTCTGGGTTGATAGAGTTGTATTTATCAGCTATCTGCAAATGAATTTTGTCATATCTTTAAATTCTGTGAGTATTATGTGGCTTAGTCTTCCATAGATAACATATACCAGAGATGGATAAAAAAATATAACTTGCGCTGTATTGACAATAGAGTTACAATTTATTTGTGGTATGCATGATGTGCATCCTTATCTTGCTTGCTTTCTATGTATATACAAACACACAGAGGTATTCTTACTAGAGGAGATTTTATCTTTGCTGGTATTTTGAGAATTACATTATCATGAACAAAATATGCAGAAAGGAAAGTGAGTGTGTGTAAGTGCAAGTTGTATGGCAGCCATCATTAACATGCTTATTTTGGTAGGATTTAGTGATCCAGAAGCCAAGCCAGTCCTACTGGTCTTTTAAAAACTACTTAGAAGATTATACGGCTCTGCTGCATCAATACAAAATTGTAGTTAATTGAAAAGTGATATCCTGTGCATGCTTTTTCCTTTTCAAGTGCTGCCATTTCTTTTGGCACAGGAATTTGCCATCATGCAGTCATTAGTTACTACTTCATCTAAAATATGTCTTGTGGTAGTTTCTAGTGGTGTCCTGGCTTTTGGGAAATGCTGCAGTTCCAAGGGAAAACCGAAGGAATGGGTGCAATAACCCATTATCATTTTTCTATGCCATAATAATAATGGTTTTAATTTTTTAAAAAATTTACAAGAATCTAATACTCAAGTATTCACTGTACTGGAAAAAAACTTATTTACAAGGATATCTGCTGTGACCAGTTATTTAGGAGAAAATAAATTATTTAATTGCCCCACTGATTCTTGTTAATCTACTTACTTCTGCGCTCAGTTCTGCGCACACTGTGTCTCACCTAAAAAATCCAATGCGCAGGCTGGAAGGTGTAAAGACCTTCCCCAGTTCTTCGTTTGTGAAGAGACTGGCCATGCTGATCTAAATCTCAGTTATAAGCTATTAAACTCTTCTATGTGTTCGTGGTTTATATTCTGTATTTTATTTTGGTTTACTGGGGTGGTTTTGGTTGCCTATGTTGTTTTTTTCATGAGAGAGGAACGAATTGAGGTCTTTTGACCTGCTGCATATCCACATAGTCTTCAGATCCCACAGCTGACTAATGGGAGGAGAAAGAGCAAAGCATAATGAAAGCAAAAGTAACTTTCCCAAGAAATGCAAAAGAGTGCAGTAAATTAATAAATTTCATTGGAGCTTCAGTTCTCATTAAAAAAAACCAAACCCAAACAGCCCCCACTCTCTACCACCAATTTTTGCAGCTCTAAGCCCTCATGCAATGCTCAGAGACAACTACTCCATATCTGTAAGGATATTTTTCATAATGTAAAATTATGTGTAGAGCTGAGCAAATTTTGATTGTTCAGTTTAGTGCTAAACCAAGGATCTGGAACAATTATGTCAGAATGTAAAATTAAAAATTAAGATACCAATTTGGAAATAGATTATTTGTATCAATGCACAGAGACCTTTGTATTTTAAAGCTGAAAATTTTAATTTTAAGTTCCTGCAAGTAACCAACATTAACACTGCTTTTGTTTGGTTTTTTGTTTGTTTTGAACTATTTTAAATATTTGGATTACATTTTCATATTATATTGGTACTCAATATTACCTTGTCTACATGTTGAAACTAAACCAAAAGTTTAGTTCCCTTTTTCTATTTTGCTTCAATGAAAATGAACTTCCTCAGTCCATAAAATTCAGTAAGTACCACTATTTGAGACTAAAATTCTGAACCAATCACTTTTCCTCTGGAAATATGGGCCTGCATGAATGTAAATATCATGGTGTTCTGGTCAGACTGTGTTTAACAATGTTTTATATTTTAGTCATGTTTGAAGGAAAAAATGACACATTACAATGGAGTAAAAATAAATTTTTCTAAATGTCTTTTTGCACAACATGAAGCTCTAGACTGAAAAGCAGTCTAAGGTTAACAGGAGAGCATTTGAAATGTTGCATTTGGAATTATCAGAACTGTTTCAATTAGCACTACTTGAAATTATGCACACAGAGCAACTAAAAAATAATTTGAATAAGTTACAAAAGTTTAAAATCAGTTAAAAAATAAGTTAAAATGCATTAAAAAATAACATCAAACTAAAAAATGAGCAGAAAAAAGTCTTTAGCCTGTCTACTTTTCAACAGCTCACACAACCCTTTTTTATGGAACATCCACAATATACTAGGAAAACAGTTATGTTGATGCTGAACTGAATTTTCATACAGGCAAAATATCCTTGAAGCTTTGGGCAAGGCCAATACAGTGGTCTAGATATGTATAATGCAACATTAAAAGAGAGAGATGAAATAACATCTGTTGGAAGCAGACACAACCCTAAACTCATGATATTGAGTTTTGTCATGATATGACAAAACATATCTTTAAAAAAAATTTTTGATTTAATTACAGTATTGATTTAAATGTCCTGTTGGTTTCAGTTGGAGAGAATCCCAGGGAATGCCCTGCCTTCACTGATTTTGTGTGTGGGAATCAGAATTGCATAGAGTCTCAGTTCGTCTGTGACTATAAGCCAGACTGTGAAGACCTATCTGATGAAGCTGACTGCAGTAAGTATCTCTTTGTGTGTTAATGTAATCTCCAATTAAAATTATAGCTTTAAAACCTGTCGCGTAGCTTAGGTGAATTTACGCAGATGATTTGCTCAGAAGGTGATTACAAGCAGGTTGCAATGTCTTCGTTACGGAACAGCTGGAAAAAGTCCAGTCTGTTTATATTTTCTGAAGTCCTAGTGAATACTGAGACAAGATTTGTCTGTAGGCATTCTTTGCTACAACTGATTGAGATGGAGGGACACAACTCAATTTTAAAATCTGGATCAAATTCATGGGCTTTCCAATTCAGGCTTGAAATTCAGAAACAGTAAAATATTATGCCCTTGTTTCTGCTCCATGACTTTGTTTAGTTACAGTTACTGTCTGGACCAGGCACTTGGAGGAGGAAGATTTAGTAGTCCATAAATACAGTTCAGTAATCAATCTAATTGTTAATTAGCTGGAGGGCCAAATTCTGCGATAATGCAGATATAATCAAAAGTAACCTTGATAGATAAAGTAAACGCATTACACAAATTAATTCGATGTTCATCTTGTATGGAAGTAAAATCACTTCATTGAAATCAACCAATACTTGGTGATCCCTTGAAAATCAAAGACCTCACTTGCATAGAGTTGCTCTATGCTGTGACTGGACAGGATTACAAAAACAATGTCCCTTTGTTGGGTAATGAAAATTATATTGTTTTATCCAGGCAGCAGACTTACAGACTTACACTTACTGGGATACAAGCTAAGATGTCCCTATAGGAGATTTATCTTGGAGTTTTGCCTTTCATAAAAGTAAATAACAGTTCTGAAGTACATATACTGAAGTTGGTGTCACTGTTTCTGGTTTCTACCTCCTGTAGTGCTTCATGTTGCAGAGAATTTTGTGAATTACAATGGTGGAAATGGATCTACATTGAATCATAACTTTAAAATACTTTTCAAAAGTAGATTCCCAGAAAAGATAGGTTTTAAACAGCTAATCTGATTTGTTGCATATGATATTAATTTTTTCAGGAGTTAGGCAAAGTAAATGCAGCAAAGTATTCTGAAAACTCACCCTTATAAAATCTTTCAGACCTAACAGACACACAGTAAATATGAATTGTGTCCAAAAGGAACTACTTGGTAAAGATATTTTAAAAAACTATGGAGGTACTTGATTATTCCCTAAATATTGTTATAGGATATAGTAACTTCACTGGGGGAGAGTGTTGTTCTTTGTTTTCTGGAAGGACTGTGATAGCATCAATTCTCTCTTCTTGGTCAGATTAGATGGAAATATTTCAGGCCATAAATGATCTTAAATGACAGCAAAGCAACTCAGTCCTTGTTATACTGAGGAAAAGCTTTTTCAAGGGAAGAAAAAAAAATTACTGATACCCACTTTAAATAAGTAAAGCGAAATGTTATTTTATTATAGATGGAAATGTTGCAAATGCCTCAAAATATTTTTATCAGGCTTTAGCCTTGTTGTGTCTGCAGAAGTGTCAAAATATCAGTAACACAGAGATACTGTAATCTGAAATTTAGAATATTCAGATAAGCCTCGGATATACTATTTCCCTATCTGCTATATCTTAGTTTCAACAAATAATGCCTTATATTTAGATAAATACAACTTCCCCTTGAGTATATATCTTATAGATGGGTATAAACAACGTTGATGTTTATAATGCCTTTTAGATATGAGAACCTCATTTTTTAATGAAAAGGCAACAGGAGCCACTTAATCAAAAAAGAGAGCAGAAAAGGCACGAAGAAAGCCCTTCCCAGTCTAACCTGTCCCATCACAAATGGTTATGGCCACATTTGTCTTGGGTTTTATCCTTTGCACTGAGGTCACGATCTGAGCTTATTTCACATTCTGCAATAGTTTTATACCAGTGTAACTCCAGAGAAGTAAATGGACCATAATCTTCTCAGCAGCAATTCCTCTGTAGAGGATTTACAACACTACCTGGATGAAATGAACTGCATCCATGCAGGCTGGTGAACTTTTTTCTTTTAAATAAAGTCATGGAAATTGCTTACTCTATGCTTCATTCAGTCCAGTCAGGCAATCTTGCAAAGTTTTCATTCTCTTTCAGTAACCTGGTGAAAGTAACAGGGTAAAAAAAGCACACATGAAAGGAGTTTCAATTTTCATGAATTGTAGTCAATTATACACATAGATTTCATTAATAGGAAGCCTCAGTGTTGATGACCAACCTAGAGGTGTGCTTGAGTCATTGAAATAACAATAACTGTTCCAATAAATGGAACAATCTTCTTGTTTACTTCTAAATAGGCTATGCTCAGTCATAAAATATAAAGGACCCAGGAGGAACAGATATGTCACATGATTATCAAACCAGTAAACACTGTTCACAAATATTTACTAATAATTGCCTTCTGAAAGCACTGTTAATATATTAGGGTAAAAATCCTGAAGTCAGGTATTCTGACTAGCATCATTTCTAAATTAATGTGGACTTTGATCTTGTTTGCGACATACAAGAAAACTCTCTTTTTTTTTTTTTAAATTAATGAGTTCCCTTCTTTGCCCTACCTGCATGTGAGGGTTTTTGTTGTTGGAATTAGGCTTTATTAGGCTTCCATGATGCTTGTAATGCAGTGCCAGTGCAGATGTTCAGTACATTTGAATAGTACTAACAAAAGCACAGAAGGGTTGAGGTGGGAAGGCACTTCTGGAGACCATCTAGTTCAATCCCCTGCTTGAAACAGAGTTCATTGCAATAAGTTGCACAGGGCTTTATCAGTGAGGGTTTGAATATCTCCAAAAATGGAGACTCCACAACTTCTTTGGGCAACTTGTGGGTTTGACCAGCCTTACAGTTAAAAAAGGTTTTTTTCCTTAACCTTAAAAAGTGCTTCCTGTATTTTTTTACCCATTGCCTCTTGTCCTGACACTGGGCACCACTGAGAAGTGTCTGGCTTTATCTTCTTTAAACCATCACATCAAGTGGCTGTATACACTGACAAAATCCCACTGAGCGTTCTCATCTCCTGAATTTAGTCAGTGTCCTAATCACCAGAACATCTCCTTCATCATAAAACTGCCTTCAGGCATAACATTCACAAGGATGAGCCACATATCTTTATGAAAAATGCCACTGTGGAAGTGCAGTCCAGTTTTGCTAGCTAATTGACTGGAAATCATTCTGTCCATTCACCTTGGACAAGAATTAAATTTGGTGAAGTTTTCAGTTTGTCCTCAAGAGTTACATGGGCATTTATCTGTAATAAAATAATGTAATGGAATGCAGGGAAATGTAGCATTAGTTATACAGAATCCTTTTCATTATCATGTACAGTATGTTCATTATAGCATCTTTACAGAGAGCTGGGGTGATAATTTATTTCTTGCTGTATTTGCAGGTTACTACACAAGTATTCCTGGAAGCTGTAACTTTGAAATACAAGACCAAGAATGGACAAGTGCATGTGGATTAACACAAGACCCTAATGATGATTTTGACTGGAATATTAGCAACACTGCTGTCAAGGGACAAATGGGTCCTCATACTGACCACACACCAGGTATTGCCATGTGCACTACATCACTTTTGGGAAAATTAAATATTCGTCAAATTAAAAAAACCACAACCAACCACCTGCCAAGGTAACAGCAAATCTCAGTGTGATCAGCTGATGCATCAGAATGGTTCAAAGCTGCAAGAGAAAAGGTTCAGGAGCAGTTCCTTACCAATAGGGAGATCAAACACTGGAACAGGCTCCCGGGAGGTAGGTGGTGCCCCAGGCCTGACAGTGTTTAACAAGCATTTGGACAATGCCCTTAATAATGTTTTATTTTGATCAGCACTGAATTGATCAGGCAGTTGGACTAGATGATCATTATAGGCCTCTTCCAACTGAAATAATTCTATTCTATTTCAATAATAAATTTTATCTATACAATGTCAGCTTCTGATATTAAAAGAATAATTTTCTGAAAGTATCAGTAACTATATAATACTCTTCTTATCAATATTTTAAACAATCTACTTTTCCTGGAGTTTAGTATCATCCTAATGAGTTCTAGAAAAATATGCAATTATATGTAGGTCCTTAGAGAATGGCTGAGGAGCAAAGAGTGTGGATGTGCATGGAATGCTTAAGGTTTCTACTCTACTTTAACTTACATCCCTGGCATTGGCTTGCCAGAAATCTCAATACTGAAGTGTTTCCCAAGATGCTGCTGATAGACTTGCTATATATAATACCAGATTGCCTATTGATTTTCAGGAGAACTAAATGTATCTATAGGAAATTACAGTAATCTGTGTTATGTAGACAGCTCAGCAATAATTATACATTGTATTTACATAAATATTAAATAATATATTCTCTACATTATATAATATATCTGGATGGGATGTTAATTTCCATCACAAATATACCAATCTCTATTTAAGAAGTACTTAGCTATCTTTCCAGAAGCCTTATAGTTAGAAACCCTATCTTTATTTATATCTATTTAGCAAAGTATCATTAGTGTTCAATCTAGAAGTATCACAATCTCTACTGTTTTTATTTTAGATTTGTGAGCAGCATGATCTCCAGGTCTTGACTTTTTTTTGTGTGTTTTATGTTTTCAAAATCAACAGAGATGTCTTATTGTGGCTGTAATGGCTGTAACCATTTCTGTTCTACCCATTTATTCTCCCTTTTCCTTTAGAGGATTCTGAATCTGCTGCAGGAACTGGTCACCTGATCATGAGGGAACTGCTTATCTACCATAAATCACAGCTTTTGCAGAGGTCCACATTAGTTTGTGTTGCTATTATAGGCTGTAAATGTGCAAGTTCATTCCTCTTGGAAAGGAACAGGACAAACATACAGAAGTAGAAACAGCTGTCCCAGGCAAGCTGTTCCTTGCAAATAAGTAGTTTGACCTTCTTTCTTGATGTTCCTTTAATGCAATGTGATGACAAAACAACAGCTAACCCTTGGCTTTTCAAGATTTGGTGTGATTTTCTATTTCAGTTTCTGTCATTTAATTAGTTCTTTGTTTCTGTGAAATTATCCAGCAATTCTAAGAAAAACAAAGTTAATAAAAAGTGAAGCAAAAGGAAAACCAAATTAAACAAGTTTGTAAAATTACCCAGACTTGTAATTTTACTTGTAAATTACTTGTAAATTTTACTTGTAAATTTACTTGTAAATTACCCAGGCAAGAAACATTTACATTGGGTATAGAGAAATCTCTTGTCAGAATTGCCAACAGCTTAGATATTGATGGCCTGTACTGTCTAAAAATATCTAGCAGCCCGTTACTGACCCAAATTCAATTTCTTCTTGTCCAAATTAATTTTCTCTAGCTCTAAGCATATAAATTCAGTGTACCAAGCATATATGCCATTATAGCAATATAAATAAGTCTGTGATATTGTATCTGTTACGTATTAGGTACATTGGCACAAGTTGGTGTGGAGGAATTTCATACTGGTTTCAATGTGTCTTGTATTGCCTCATGTCCTCTGTCTGGTGACCGCTGAGAAGACCCAAGGGAATGGTGTGAAGCTGTGTCAGGGGAGGTTTAGGCTGGATATTAGGAAAAGGTTCGTTACCCACAGGAGGACTGAGCACTGGAACAGGTTCCCCAGGAAAGTTGTCACAGCACCAAGCCTGACAGAGTTCAAGAAGCATTTGGTCAATGCTCTCAGGCACATGGTGTGACTCTTGGGGTGTCCTGCTCAGGACCAGCGGTTGGACTTTGGTGATCCTTGTGGGTTTTTTCCAAGTCAGATTATCTTATGATTCTATCTAGCACAAGGAACATCTAGGACAAAGGGGAACAGTTTTATACCAAAGAGGAGAGATTTAGATTATAAATTAGGAAGAAATTCTTTACTCAGAAGGTGATAAGACACTGGAAAAAGTTGCCAAGAGAAGCGGTGGATGCTCCATCCCTGGAAGTGTTCAAGGGCAGGTTGGCCGGGGCTTTGAGCAACCTGCTCTAGTGGGTGGCATTGCTGCCCATGACATGGGGGTTGGAACTAGATTATTTTTAAGGGTCCTTCCAAGCCAAACTATTCTATTATTTTATGAAATATGTAAAGCACTAACTTGGAAGATCTCCATACAACTAAGGTATGGTATATGTGTAAATGGTAAAAATAGATTACAAAAAAAGCTACCATCTGTGTGTGTAAAAATGCTTATAATCTGAAGCAAAAAATATTATTGAAAAGCTCCAAATGTTTTTTATCTTTTTATTAAGGTAAAGGACAGAGGTTTTTGTATGTAAACTCATCTGCCCAGAAGGAAGGAAACAGAGCAAGGATAACTACCACCAAATTCTTCCCAGCTAGTCTTGGGGTCTGTAGGGTTCGGTTCTGGTTCTGGATGTTTGCTTCTAGGCAAGCAGGAGTCCTAAAGGTAAGAGAAAAAGCACTTCTGCTACATAATAATAATATTTGCTTTAGTAGTATTTCCATTTTTATGTCTAGAATTAGCAAAATCTTAGGAATTCATGTTAAAAATACTTCATCACAACTTCACTGCAGTTGCACCTATACACAAAATTTTTGTTGACAAGATCAAGTGACAGTTCTACTTCAATTTTAGTTGCATTTGAAATCCTTTTGCTACATATGTAAGAATTAACATTGCACATTTGACTTCCATACTTAAATCTATCCAATATCAGCACAGTTCCCTCCACAATTCACTCTTTTACATAAAATAGAAGTGGTTTCCAGTGTTTAGTGGTTTAAAATAAAAGTTTTAAAAATATTAATGTAATCATATGTAAAGGGTGTTTTATTAAAACAACTGTAAATAAGGTATTTAACTGTATTAACAATTTTAGCTCAAACTTTCATGAAAATATCATCTTGATGTTCCCCAAGCATCCTTAATGGGTACCTCTTTGGTTGTTAAGTACTCCAGGAACAGTCCAAGCAGTGATGAGAACCCCTGGCAAAAAACTCATTTCATGTCATGGGACTCACAATAAATATGTTGCACAGTTACTTGTTAAGTGGTCTGAGCAAGACTCCTGTGGTGGTTTGCTAGATTTTGAAAATACAGGTTATGTTAGTTTTTTAATTTGTGACATAATAGAATAATGTGCATAGCCTATTAAACTTCTGAACTAAGACAGTCTATCTTAAAGGTGAACAAGAATATCTTTGTGGTCTTGGGCCTCAAATTAAGTCAGGAAGTTTGTACCACTCTTTTCTTCACTGGAAAAGATAATCATAGCACAATCCATGGGGTTGTAGTTCAATTAGGCTGAAAGAACCTCAGGAGGTCTCCAGTCGAACTTTCTGCTCCAAGAAGGGTCAGCTACAAGATCATGCCTGGTCGCTCAGGAATTTGCCCAGTTTTGAAAATAGACGTAAGTGGAGACTGTTCAAACTCCATGGGCAACCTCTGTCACTGATCAACCATCCACCATGAGAAGACTTCTCCTTATAACCAGACAAAGAATTAACTTGCACCTTTTTTTTTTTTTTTTTTAGTATTTTTTTTCAGGATGGGATTTGCATCTCAATTTTACCTCTAGTACTTAGTTTATGAATCCTCTGAGTATTACTGTAAACAGATAATAGTAACAAAAAAAAAATAACCCACTGTATGGCATGAAGTTGATATAAGCTGCAGTAAAAAACTAACAATTTTTTTTTTAATCTGTTGATAGTTAAATACTATGAATTTATCTATAATTATCTATTTGTTCAAGTATCTTGGACATTACAGTGTGCAAGATTGATGGCGAGACTTTTTGAAGGAGCTTCTGGAGGTTTCCAAGCATCACAGAACACTTAGAGTTTCTGAATAAGTAGGTGTGTGGGGCCTAGGTGTGATTTAATATACAGAAGGTCACACAGCGTCTGCTTTTTAATTTTTTTTCTTTTTAATTTTAAACAAATTAGTTTAATTACCTCTCATTGTCTTCAATTTCATAAAGAGATCCATAAAGAATTATCTTACTTCCACATAAAAATAAAGTTCCCTACTTATGCACTCTTTATATAGAAACATGTAACAGTATTTACAATACACTGAAGCAATGAGTAAGGAATATCATCCTGTCACAGGCTCAATTTACCCATATAGACATTTTGCTCTTTTCTATCAAACTAATAATCTATTTCAGCATCAACCTTGCTGGTATTAAATCAAGAATATAAATTACCTGTAACCATTCAAGTGAAAAAAAAAAAAAAAGCCCAAAAAGAACAAAGAAAAAAAAAGCCATAAAGTCAACAGCCCAAAACTTCTAAAGCAAGAGCTCTGTGAAGATTTTTTTTTTTCAGTTTGCACAGGAGGTGAAAGAAGTCAAACTGTAATAGGAAGTCTGAATAATGTGTTAGAATATAATAACATCAGTACAAAAGCTGATGTTATAGCTCTTATCTAAAAGACAGCTCCTTGGTCAAGTCTGAACTAAAAAAAAAAAAAAAAGGACTGTAGATAGGACGTGCTGAGGTGTGTGATTAAAACGACATACAGGAAATCCTTAAAAAAGAAAGATAAAAAGGAAGACTATATTGATATAGGAAGTAGATGCAGTAGAACTACACAAAATAATGTAAAGTTACAGGAACAATCCTATTTTTACCCAAAAAAACCAACTAGTCACTGAGGAAAAAGAAAAAGGAACTAGAAGTGCTTCTTTTCTGTATTCATAGTGTACATTTTAATTGCACAATTCTGTTGTCATAAACTCTGTGATTTGTTCATAGGGAAACCAAAAGCTTAGGCTATTATTATTATTATTATTATTATTATTATTATTATTATTATTATTAAAAAAGATACAATGTTTACAGCAACTTTTGAATTAACGTAGAATGGATGCTATTTGAAAGAGATCTGAATACTAATGCTTCAGTCAACTATTTGCCACCAGGAGAAGAAATTGCTTTGTAATGATTAAGTACAAAACCACTAGCTTTTCTTAGAGGTATGTGGTGACAGCCTTTGAGAGGGGAGTTATTCAGCAGAAATACATAGCTGGTCTAATATATCAATTAATATGCTCTGAACAAGAATAGGTCTTAGTACAAACAAACTTTTCTGCATTATGATGAAAAAGTAAATTTTAAAAAAAAGCCCCACATTTCTCTTTACATATTATGACTATTTAGTGGCATTTAATGATGCAGGAGAGCAGTTTCAGCAAGAAATTAACAGTTTTTTCACATCTTTTTTTTTCCAGTGGGGATCATATTGATCATCTATCAGTTAGACTGAAAACTTTCAGCTTTTATTATGCTTTAACATTCTTTCTTTGCGCATTTACTTCAGGAGTTTTTTGTATGGTTGAGAATTAAAACCAAAATTAATTCCCTATGTGAAAGTGTAACTGATATATCATTTTTCTGCTTGGGTATTTGTTGATACTAACAAAATTGAGGTATAATAGATTTTATTATAGGTCAGGTTAATTCTACTAAAAAAACCTGAATTTGTTATTTTTTCAAATTAATGTTTAGACAAAATTTGTTGTTACCCCTCAAACAAAAGTTTAGAGATATAAAGAGAAAAGAGGCAAGTAATTTTCTTTAAGTGCTTCTCTATTGTGAGAGTGAAATGTGATACAATTTTATAATCTGATTTTTGGGCTTTTGAGAAACAGTTTCAGTCTGTCTCTGGTATAGGTTCAGTCCAAGGAAAATGTGCAATGATGGCTGCCAAGAAACATGAGGAGTTCAAAGGGATGATCTTAAGGATGTAAAGCAGAAAACATAGTATCATTATTCATGGGAGTCAGTGGAAAGTTCTCTCAGCTGATTCAAGCCTCTGGTGCTTAATGAAGTGAAAATACAGGTTGTCTTTCTCAAGATTTTCCTGCTTCCTTGGCTGGCAATTAAAGACTATGTGTTGCAAACAACAGGAGAATATATCTCTTATTAGGCACTGGCTTCTTAGTTATTAGGCAGTTTAGGTGGAACACAGCACCATCCAGCATGCCAACTGCTCAATTCAGGCAAGATCAGGAAGATAATTATCTTGAAAAGTCAGGATAGGGGTACAGGATAGCCACCTGAACTGACTGTAACTGCTGATGACTAAGTAGAAAATAGCAGTTCGTATTTCATGACCTTCAAAAGTGCGTGCATTTTCACCACTCCCAGAATGAAATAGAAGCTGAAAGAAGAATTCGGAAGTTTCTGATACACAGGACATTTTGTGCAGAATTGGAACTAAGTCATGATTTTAAGGCAGGGTAATGGAATTTTCTAAAGAATGTTGTTCTCTGCAGATCAGCTGGATCAGTATTAGGCTGGAGCACAGTCTTACCAGACTGACAGATGCAGAGTTGTTCAATGGGACTTCACTGCAACTTGTTTGGTTGGTTTTTTTGATTGTTTGTTTTGCTGTGGGTTTTTGTTTGTTTGTTTTTCTTTTTTTTTCATTACATACCATAGAGTGAGATTCATATATACTCTTTCATATCTGAAATTGTTTCCACTATCAGGCTAGCTTGTACCCAAATGCTGTGCAGGGAAGTGGTGTAGTCCCTGGAGGTATTAAGCACCACACAGCTATACCTTTCCAAGGCTCTAGGGAGATCTTATCCATGAGAATTTGCTCTTCCTTTCATGTACTGTATATTTTTACACAGGCCAGAAAAAATCTGGTATACACTTAATGTACTTCCTGACCCAGAAGATGCTTCAAACTCTCAGTGACAGAGATAGTCCCAGGAAAGAATATAGTATTATATTTTATAGTTATTTCTTCACTTTCACTCATCACAGCCTCTGAGAGAATAAGATCTGTATCCACCTAAAGGTAGTGCATCCTTGGGCTTCCCGTTTTTCTGAACTCTCCTTTAATTCCATTTGATTTAGCATGCATTTTCAAATATGTATTATTCTTCTAAAAATTCATCCAGATTTTTTAGAAGACATTTAGGAACACATATCAGTTCCTGGCATAGTTATGGATAGATAAAGACTTACAGAACTGAAGTAAAAGTATTCAGAAGTACTTTGGTCAGTAGTGGGATGACAAACGGAGCAGAACTGGCAGCTCAATTGAGATTTCCAACCAAACAGTTTAGTGATTTCCACTAAATGCTATCAGTTTCCTCAGATTACCTGTGTGATTGTAATGAGAAACCTTACACCAGGTTTAAACTTTAGTCAAATATAACTGATCACAGAGCCACATACATATAAACTAATCTATAGTAATTACATATCTGCACATCCTTACTCTTTGGTAAATATAAATTAAATCTCAAGGGAAAGAAAGACAAGGATATAAAACTACTTTGCATCTATGTGAACAGAAGCTAATACCATGAAAATGTCACACTTGAGACCCAGTTGGACTTTCTGCCATTCCAAATACATTGACCAGTAAACATACGGCAGGTTTCCTGACTGATTTATGGTTTGTGCTAAGTTTGAGCTATGGGATTGATCTGTATGTACACAGAATGATTCCATTCTCCATCTGAGACCAGGCTTTGTATGCACATGTTGCAATTTCTCTGTACATAGATAGAACTGTTCAAGCAAGTATTGTGTCTTGAAATTTTTAGTATGATAAACTTCTCCTACCAACCTGACCAAAAGAAGTGGGGAAAAAAAAAAAAAAGGTTTTAAACAATGGAATAATCTTTAACTGTCCTGTAAGAGAGATTCCAGTATTGTCTTCAATTGTTTTTGATTCTTCCCACTTTCCTACCATGTATTTGTGCAGCTGTGAGACTTAACAATGAGATCTATTGAAAGTGATATTATCTCATTTTTTAGCAGAAATTAATATTGAATGATACAGTAATAGCTAAAACCACACTAACATTGTTATGTGCTGTAAAATTCTAGATTGTCAAGATTGTTGTCTTTCATGATTGATAGAATAGTGACCGGTTCTAGAGACACACACAGGTGCTGTAACTTCATCCTAAACTCACATGTAGAGTTATTCTAATCAAGGGTTTCAACTTATTAAGGCCTTAGACCCTGAAAAACTGTTACAAGTAGTTCTTAATTTTAATTTTATTTTACGGGTTGAATCAGCTATTTCTTCTTGACACCTGTCCTTCTAGCTCTGCAATATGCATGCTTTTAGGGAGAGAGTACAAGATATTGCTGTTACGCAGTCCTGTAACCAAACATCAGGCTTGACTAAATTAGGTCCTGACTTGGATTATTGTATATCAGTATTCTTGATGCTCACCTGCTCTAAAAAATGAAATATAACTTGCAGGAGCACCAGGCATCAGAGATATTTTAATCAATATACCAAGTTCTACAAAGTATGTGGATCATGGTGCCATTTGGGTTTTTAGCTTATTTATCCTACTAGGTTGACTGGGAGATTCAAAGTTATTTAGTTATACAGATCATTAGTATGGGTTTAAGTTAATAACTTTCTTGGGCCTCAGGTTTTCTATTCCATCATTGAACTGGGACATTCAATTGGCAACATGAACCTTTGGGTCACTGGAAAATTAGTTTGAAGGCTTAAGAGAAGTATGTTGTTGAAAGTGATGAGGAGAGGATAAGGATTAAAATATTCACTCTCTTAAAGAAATAATTATCATCTGGAATGGTTAGAGTATGCTTATTTTCCTTACTCCAGTTCTTTTTCATTATTTTGACCTGGTTTAGATTGTATAAGGATTTTGAACATCTGAGTGGGAAGAGCAATTACCTCTGTATTCTTCAGTTTCATGTGCTTGGTATAAATTCACCAGTTCTTGGATAATTGTGACTTCATTCTTTGTCTTACTTATTGCTTTCACTATTTGATTATATTATTTATTTTTATTTAGGGCTTTGCTAAATATGCTGGCAATAATTTTCTGTGACTGTCTGAAACATTTTATTATAAATTGCTTGTACAAGATAACAGCCTTAAATCCCTAGTTGCTAAACCTTTTATTTTTATTTCTAAAATCTTCATTCAGTCTATCAACTATAAGGAGGTCACCTTTTAGAGATGAAAGGATAGCTCAAGATCCTTCTCAGTCTTTTCTTCAATTTTTAGATGAATTTGGGGTTAAGTCTTCACTCATTAACTTCTATAAGTCAGGCTGACACTGTCTATAGGTTTACATGTTAGTGATTGTGTTAGCAGTTCTTTTGATTTTCTTTTTGTAGCAGCTTTTTATTTCAAGTTGAACAAGCATTAGCAAAATTATTCAGCAACATCTGGTTATCACCAACAGGATGTGGATTTGAACCATATCTAAGTACTACCCAGGCAGGAGCTGCACTGCTGGGCTGTGTTACTCTCACTCCCTGCACTCCTGTTGCTTAATGATGAATCCATTGCATCTCTTGGGTTGTGTCATCAACAGGTATACACAGTTGAAGAACATGGAATGGATATTCTTATGTGGTCTTCTAGCAGAAACGAAGAAAACAAATGGATGTATGCAAGTGTACTCCTCTCCAGTAACAGCCCTTTCAGAGTTGCCTTCGAAGCTGAAGTGGGGTGGAGTGAACCCACAGAATTTGCTCTAGATGATATTTCTTTCACCCCAGAATGCATTGATGGAGGTATGCTATTACACAAATATATCTAATATGTGTTGTCTTTTCAGAGGGAAAGAAAAATTGTGGCATTTCATATTTCAGTGTGTATCACAGTTACAAAAACTGAAATATTTTCCTTTTGAAATTACTACAATAATGCTATGTTTTTACTTCATTCAAAAAAAATTTAGAAAAGAAATGGGTGCAGCACTATCATGCAAAGATGTCTTTTTCAAAGGAAAGAAAAATATGAAATGAAAGATCAAATTTATCATGTATGACCCTCATGGCAATTTTTTTAATTTTTTCCCTGAAGGAAAGCCATTAAACCTATCAGAAGGGCTCCTATCTGTTTGTTGTCTGAGTGCAGTGTCTGACTAATGTTATTTTCTCATGGTTTGTGGAAGACAGTTTTTGTATTATAGCTAGAAGTTGAATATATAAATAATTATACCAACTCAGAATATTACTTCCATTTAGGACCTGTTAGTGAACCATATTTGAGAGGGTCTATTATGAACCATATTTGAGAGGGATCCATCATCATTCAAATACATTGTTTTTCTCCTGTATGAAAAAAAATAGTGAAGGTTTTATGTTGGGATGGATGAATATCAAAGTGGTTCACAATTATTTTAAAAGAGGTTAGTTCTTCATTTTCTTCATAAAATTTCTCAGTGGTGTCATGTATTTGCCTCACTGCCAGGCCCTTGAGAGTTTACAATCTCATTTCTTCTGGAGGAATTAAGTGACTTGATCTGTGTAGAAAAAAATTGTAATGTTTGGTAATGCCCTGTTTATTCTGTGTGGAAGGTAGTGCTCTACTCTGCAAACAAAATATAGCATATGATACAGTATCAGAAAAAGAGCAGTATATGTGCAAATACAGATTCTAATAGAAATACTGGCCATTCCTTATTTTGAAAAGTCAAGAGAGGAAGAAAACCAAAGAAACAGAACATTTCTTGTGCAGAACTTTATTCACAAGGAACAAACAGGAATGATTATGGTTAAATAAACACCAGTATTAAAGTTATAAAAATCTTCTTGGATAATATTCTTCTTGTTTGGATAGGATAGCCTCCATATGAACTAGTTGTCATACTGTTCAAGACACTTTTTTATTATTTTTATTGTGGTAAGCATCTCCTTCAAGAATTAACCACATGCTGACTAAAGCTTAAAGTAAAAGAATAAGTTCACAGAGGTGGCATTTGCTCAGCGTTAAGCTGAACAAATGTTTTGTTTATTTTCTCAGAATAGGCTCAGGCAAATAATATTTTGGAATGTTACTCAATGAGCTGCAGACTATGTACATAGACAGGCATTTGTTCTACCCTTATTATGTAAATCACCTTTGTTAGCCATGTCTTAAGACTTGCATAAGCAGTTTCATGCATAATATAGCATAACAGGGAAATTTTCAAATTAAGTACCAGTAATTAACTGGAAGACCTAGTTCTATATTCCAACAATTTATACAACTCAGTTTTCTAGCTTTGTGGAACCTAAATTTGGTAATTTACTATGAACAAGCCTGAATTCAGAGAAAGGAAAAAGATCTTCCATGGAAAGTGTATATTAAGGAATCCTGAAATAATCATAACTATAGAAATAAGGTCATTTTAATGAAGCAACATTTTCTAATCACCTTATTTTTCTCTAGAGATTTTCCAGTTGTAGAAAACTTCCAAGTCTCTCACTTGTATCACACTTTCTGTGTCTTACAAATAGAATAGATCATAAGTTTGGGCTTAAGAGAAAGACTTATATTGTTGAATAAGTCAAAAACTCATGCTCTGTCTACATGGGGTTTGTGACTTAATACGTAATCTCCTCTCCAGACAAAAAACTATATCTAGATGCTGTTACTTAAGATTGGTTTTGTACTATTACTGGAAAAGTTCTATTGTAATAACCCTTGTTGGCCAGGTCAGCCACGTCTGTGCTTGTGAAGAGACAAGAAAACTGCACAAAACCCATGTAATAAAATAAACCACAGAAGTTTAGGAAGAAGAACCTGCCTCTGACTTTTTAATACTCTTCCCGACAAAGAGCAGCAACTTAGAAGGAGGTTCTATTTTTTACTAATGGCTGTTGCTGAATAACTGCCTCAAAATTTAGATGGTAAAATTTGAAGATATTACCCTCAAATAAAATAAAAGCACTGTCCTGTAGATATTTCAGGAGGAATATTTTTCTGTAACAGAAACTGTGGGAAAGTTTGCCTAATCCGTTGTCAGTTCTGCTTTGATTTTTGCTTATTATGTTTATTCAAAGACCTAGCTCAAAGAAAAGTGTATTACTTGTGGTACAGGTTTTGTGTAACGTTCTTTCTTTCAGAAGATAGCTTTGCTACTGTAGATCTTTCTTCTCTCACTGTATTACTATTTTTCAGCTTTTCTTTAATTACTTTGAGTTTCCTGAGGCAACATGTTCTAAACAGAAGCAATCACAATTTAGCTGATTGGGAGCTCTAAGTAATAAACCATTACCAGCATCTCTAATTCAGCTGTGGATTTTATGTTTTTAAGTAGTCAGCCCTCATTAGCCATGAGAGTTTCTAGATACCCAAGAATATTTCTGAACATTTAAATAAAGTGTGGTCAGGCTAGTGTTAAGTCAAGCTAGGCCTACTGCAGAAGTAGCCTCTAGCTGATGCTGATGCAGAGGGAGCTGCAGTACCAGCTGTCAGTGGCAAGCTAAGTTCAGAATTATCTTCTTAATGAGATGTCCTCCTACCATTTTTCAAGGTCCATGACTTTCTGCCAATAAAATTCTGTGGAGATCTTATTTTACAGGAATTAGTGTGTCTTAGGGACCAAGGAATTTAGTTGTTACTCAGTTGTAATAATTTTCATTAAACTTCCCAGAAATATCTTGATTTAAAACAAACAAACAAAAACATCATTTATTTCTATTTAATATCTTAATTTTCAAAGTAAAGGTTAAAAAAATACCAATTTCTGAATTCAGATGGACCAAAAATTCCAAAGTATTGAATCAGATTTTGTATTCATGGTTTTCTCATAGTATTTCTAGTTCAGCTGAAACAGAAGGCATCACAGAAAGTCTAAAAATTACTGATATACCTAATTTAAATCCTAACACTAGTGCAAAAATACCTAATATCCAAACTTTATTCTGCTTATGGAAATCAGAATTCTGTGTTTTGTCATTCACTCATTACTGGAAAAATAAACTGATTGGACAAATTCTGTGTAGTTTAAACAGTAATGTATTAGTTAAACAGCACTTCTATATATTGGAACAGTATTCTTAAGAAACAAATAAATAGTAAATATATTTTGTGATATCTTTCAGAGATCACCCAAGCAAAATATTTGTGCTTGTGGAGATCTGCAACTGGAAGGTAAATCCCAGTACAAAATCAACACTGACTGCTGCTCCAGCTCTTTTATGCAGTGAAGTCACCAACTAGACCCTATTTAGTAGCAGCTCTTTGTGAAGTCAAATTGTACCACTTTAGGTAATTGCCCTAATGTTTTGGTTTATTCAAAAAATTAGTGCTGACACTTTAAAATGAATATTTGGGATGAATCTTTGGTATAAACAGGAGCGCAAATATCATGCAGTGCCTGCGGCTCCGAAGTGAGAAAACGATATTTGTTTTTCCAACATCAGTCATGCTTATCACCGGCTCAGTATTAGTATTGCTTAGTGAAGTAATTAATATGAATTAAATAAATCTGGATGTGCCTCGTGTCTATTCTTTAACTCGTTGTGAAGAAACAAATAGAAGAAACAAATCACACTATGTGAATTACAAGGCTGTTTTTGGCTTTACATTCAAGTCCAAGCCACCTCTAAAGGTCTTTATTAAAAAAATGTACATAAAGGCTTCCCAGTACCCTAAAGTCTAATACCCTCCAGAGACTGAATCTTCAATTTCTTTGAGCCATCATAAGACAATCATGAGATATGGCTACATCCACCTTTTCTAACTTTCTGGGAGCGATGATATTGCAAAGAACTGCATGACAAAGGGATAATATTTCAATCAAAATTTAGGATTAACCCCCTCAGAACTTCTGGTCAGCCATAGCAAGCAATGAAAAAGTGTATCTGGAACTATAACCTGCCTCCAACAGTTATGGATGCCTGGGAAAGAGAATAAGAAAAGGAGAACTATACTTACTGTTTTTCCCCAGTACATTCCCCCTTTCCAGCCATTTGTAATTCAACCTTCCTGAGCACTACAATCTCAAAATAATGATCCTCAGTTGTGGGTTTTTTTTTCCTTTGAACTTGTTTGTTCTCCTGTTAACACCAGGGAAATTTTTAATATTCAGAAATTTAATTATATGGTGCTGCTTGTATGAATCTAGGCTTATATTCATGAATAGAAAAGCTATTCAGTGCTTTCTCATTCATGTCTTGAAATGTATGAAACTTTTATTTAAACCTTGGTGATTCACTCTTTTGTCTGGTGGGTAGGATTTCTCTAAGACTTCTCCATAATACAGTTTCAGATCTCACCATAAATGCATACCTGACAGACCCAATCCTGAAGTTAGTTCAGAGTTAAATAATTTGTACTGACCTCCAATCAACAGCAGAACATATGTGATATCATACCAAAATTTGTGATAAGTGCAAGTGCAGGCATCAAGGTGAGAAGGCCCCCAAGGGCCAAAGCTATAAGGCCATACTCTTTGTTTAAGGTGGAAGGAATTGAACTTCATCACTGTTGTCTATTTCAAACTGCTTATGAGTGTTTATAATTCAAACACAGCAGAATGAAGGTAGATTTCAATACTTTTTCATTTAATAACTTAGTAAAAGAGTAGTGACTATAAAGACTATTTCCATATAGCTAGATAGCAGAAAGAAAGAAAGAGTGAAAAAATAAAAATCTATGTGGCTGGTCAAAGTTTTAAAAATCAATATTAGTCTGACATACTATAATTTTAGATCATATGTGGTGTCTTGAAGGCACCTAATTTTCAAAAAAGGGAGTAACTTCTCTTGTGATTTCAGATAACAAACCATAGAGCAAAGGT